ATTTTGAGTGCTTTCCAACCTGAGGGGCTCATTTCCCGGCACTTTATCTGACAGTATTTCTCTGCTATTCATAAAGTTTTCAGTAACTAAAGATTCGGAAGTATTTTGTCACTCTTTCTTCCTAGTTTGTCTTTGTCTAGAAGCGCATCTGAAACCTGTCCACCCTGGGTGACCCTGCGGGTTATTTAAAATACCGGTGGCATAGCTTTCAGAATCATAGCAACTCACAAGCCACCACCATATGACAGACAGACGAGTAGTGGCCATTTGGTTTTATGTCAAAACTGTCACTTTAAAGGGTAGCAATTTATATATTCATAGTTTTTCTTGTATTTCACTTAGTTTTCATAGGGGGAGCATGGTGGCTTTGTAGGTTGAGCAGTGGACTGTGAACCAAAAGGTCAGCTGTTCAAGCCCACCATATGCTCTGCAGAAGAAAGATGAGGCTTTCTGCTCCTGCAAAGCTTAAAAGCCATGATAACCCTATATAGTATCCTTATGTGTCAAAACCAATTGGACTTCAAAATATCACCAGCATACAAGGGGGCTTCAAAAATTTAATGGAACAATATTAATATCTTTTCATTTTATTTTTCCTTGATCTTTTTGAAGCCTTCTTGTATAATAAACATTTGAAAGTCAGATTGTCATCTTTTCTCTTCATGTTGCTATTAAGTACTGTGAAGTCGTTTCTGACCCATAGTGACCCTATATAGGGTTTCCAATTAGCAGTTGGTGAGCCTGAATCACCAACCTTGTGGCTCAAACAACTTTGCAGTCCAGAGCATTAGCCCACAGCACCACACCAAGATTCCTTTCTCTTCATAGTGTTAAAATATTGACATTTTCACTGTTAGAATATTATACATGTGGATGTTTATTAAATATGAATACAACTGAATTTTGTTAAGATTTCTATTTAAGGATAAATTTAATCCACTGTGGAGTGGATTAGAAATGGTCACTAGTCACAATGATATTTCATTCACACAATGGATCTTTAAGGAATAGGTATTACTTGCTAAAGATATGCCAATGGAATTTGCATCATCAAAACTGAAAAATAACTGCATTAGATGATAATATATTGCTCAAACTCTATTGAGTATCTGATCATTCAATAAGCAAAGTAAACACAGGTTTACTTGTGCTCATTTATTAACCTGTAGTGAAAGTTTTCACTTTTTTTTTTCACCACATCAGTGATTCTTTTTCTAGGTATAGTTGGCATCTGTCTAATTAACTCCACAGCACCCATAGAAAATCAGTCTCTTTTCAAATTACAGTCCCTGAGAGGGATGGAATGCCCAGTAAACCAGGTAAGTATAGATTACTTGTGTGTACTTACTATCTGTAGTGAACAGTTCCACAAGTTTGTCCTTTGGTGAAAACCATGTGAAACTATTTACTACAGATAAGTAAGCACAAACTTATGCTTACCTTAATTATTGAGTAATCAAACCCTATCTAGAACACACAAGTGATGGAAAACTTTTAATGTGCTTTCTTTAGTATGACACCTCAAAACTCAATTGATTGAACACTATTATTGAAGTGATTGATTTTATTTTGACTAATTGAATCTTATATATACTTTGTAAATAGAGCCTTAGTTATTTTCAAAGACATAGATTCTCTTTTGGCTTATTGTCTGATTTCACATTTGTATCTGAACTACAGACACTCAGAAAGGCATTCTCTTAACCAGAAAGTAGTTTAATTTTAATTAATGTTGTTAAATATCAATATACACCCTCCTGTACCCCATTTTGGAAAGCACTAACGTTGATCAAAGCTGGCAGTCATGAAAGTTGGGAAAATATATTTATACTAGGCACAGTCTTTGGTCTCAAACAATTCAAACAACACATTTCAAACAGTGTAAATCCTGAGATTCCAAACTGAAAACCCAGTGCCATTGAGTCAACTCCAACTTATAGCAATCTCATATAGGGTTTCTGCAATGCTAAATATTTCCAGGAGCGAGAGCCTCATCTTTCTCCCATGGAGAGTTTGGTGAATTTGATCAGCCAACTTTGCCCTTAACAGTCTAACTGTTAATCCAAAAGGGTATCAAAAAGATATTAGTCTACCATTTCACAAACTTATCTTGAGATAAATTTCCATTTACAAATGCTTTTTTGGAGATTGGTTGTATACTGTTTTCCAACAGAGCAAAGATTTGGCAGACTTTGAAAAAACTATTATTTCTTCATTTATATCTGTATTAGTAACAGTAATAGTAATATTTCAAATAAGCTTCCTTTTGCTACTTCAAGATCAGTATAATTTAGCTGCTATATCTGCATGATCAAGGATACTGACTATAGTAATTCTATTTATTTAGCAACAAGTCTAACATCATACACAGGTAGAACCCTAATTATTATTATTTTTTTCATCACAATGATGAATAATATCCAGTGTTAAGCCAGGCTATTTTGTTATTAGGTGCCATTGAGTCAGTACCGACTTATAGCGACCCTATTCACAACAGAACAAAACTTGTTAAAAATACTACAAATTTGTAAGTTATAAATTAAGCCACCAGTGTATATTTTAAAGTGTTTATGTTTCTTATTAAAAGATATAACCAAGAAATTCTGTAGACAGTTTTCCCAGAAACTTGTTTATCTGAGATAAACATAACAGAAATTATTGCAGGAGACCTAATTTTTATTGTTACTAAACATTATTCTGTAACAATATTGAATTATAAGAGGATTCCTGTCAAATGTTGATCACTTTTTAAAAATGTTATGTATTTTTCTGTTTTTAGAATATACACAGCAAAACATGTACCAATTCAACACTTTCTACATGCAAAATTCAGTGAGATTGATTACATTTTTCTAGTTGTGCAACCATTGTCACTATCAACACTTTTAAGACACTTTAAGACTTGCACATCCTGGTATCATGCTGTAGGATAAGCATTGGACTGCTAACTATAAGGTCAGCAGTTCAAACCCACCAGCCACTCCTCAGAAACCCTATACAGGGTCACTATGAATTGGAACTAGCTCAGTGGCACTTAACATAGCGTGAGCTGAGACCATCAATTTTATCTCTGTAGCTTTGTTTTAAAAACAACTTTTTATTGCAGGGCTTCTATAATATCAAATCTGCATAACAAAACAGCATTGAAGAAGAGATAGAATGTTGAATGAGTAAGTATTTAGGATTTAACTGGATACGAGATTGAGATTTAACATTGCCATTTACTAGCTTTATGACTATGGACAAAGCTTAACTTCTATATGTCTGAGTTTCCGCAACTATAAATTGGAATTTATAAACTGGTTTTTCTCACACTTTTAGTTAGAATTAAAAGAAATACCATATGTTATACTTAATACACAGTAACTGATAACTAGTTGTTGCATTTTTCTTTTTATGCTTATTTTTAGTGTTAATTTTATCTAATCTCTGGGCTGCTCTCAATTATTGTTTTGGTGATGCTTCTGATGGTTATGTGTTATGGAGTTGGATAGCATTCATAGAAACCCTATATAGGGTTTATGGGAGCAGGAAGCCTCATCTTTCTCCCACAGAACCACTGGTAATTTTGAATTGTAGACCATGAGATTAGCAGCTCGATTCATAACCACTACACTACTAGAGCTCCTTCAATTACTGTCTAGTCAGTAAAAACAGGGACTATTCATTGATTCCTCAGTAATTTGCACCTGTGTTATATAGAAAGAAAATACCAGTATGAACGCTGGTTGAAGAGTAATTCTCATTCTGTAATTCACAATGCACAATAACTTTAACTGAACAGATCCATGATATATTGAAATCAGAATAGCTCTTCATACATATGTCATGCATCAACTTTCCTCTTTAATTCATCTTCCTTCATCCCTCCATAATAAAGCCCCACCACGTTTGAACTTTCAGGAGCCTAAAAGTTTGGAGGTAAGGAGGCTACTAATCTGCCTGTCAAACTATATTGAATTTAACAGCAGAATTAGATTAAAACCTGTGGCTACTAAGATCATCTTTGGCTGCCTCTTCTCTTCCCCCATAAAATGAAACCATATATATATACTCACAAACATATGGAGTCCTGGTGGTGCTGTATAATAATTACAGGACTGCTACTGTAAAGTCAGCAGCAACCTCACCAGTAACTTCTCAGAAACCTTATACAGGGTCACTGTGGAATCAACTTGATGGCCCACTGTTACAACATTTGTGTACATATGTTGTTGTTGTTAACTGTTGTCGAGTCAGTTCCTACTCATAGCAACCCTGTATAGGGTTTCCAAGGAGTGGCTGGTGATCTTGAACTGCCAACCTTGCTGTTCAAACTATCTTTGCAGTCCAACGAATTAACCAACAGTGCCACACCAGGACTATCTATCTATTCCCTTTTGCATGTATGGAATCCTGGAGTGGTGCTGCAGGATAATGCACTATAATGTAAGGTTGGTTTAAACAACAAAGTCGGTGGTTCAAACTCACCAACCATTCCTCAGAAACATTAGGCAGGGTCATTATAAGTCAGAATAGACTCAACGACATTTAGCTTAGCATGCATGTATGTTTGTATGTGTGTGTGTGTTCATTCATGTATGTTGAGAGATGTCATCCCACTTGCTTTCAAAACAGATATGAGGGGCTTTATAATCAAAACCAAGGTACACTTAACACAGGAAAAAAGAGAAAGACAAAGAGAGAGAAAAAGAAAATTAGAAAGAAGGAAGGGGGCATTCTACTCCAAAGAAATCCTTCTCTTCTCTCAGTAAATTTTCCTTTGATTACTACCTATTCAAAATCTCTGCCAATAATGTCTGGAGTCTATGAACATCTTCACTTAACTAAGTAGCTACAGAGAGTTTTCTAACTGTAGTGTGCAAATTAGCAGCAGTGTTTTAGCACCCTTCCTTGCAATATTTTTACAATCAAAGTATGTATATTATTCACTTTTCCTCCTTAATCTTTCCCCTCTCCCAACCCAGAATGATCTGCTTGGGATTTCTGAAGATACTCACCTGTATTAGAATTAAGATCGTCAGTTTCTGATTCCATTTCATTTCCCTGAAGAGTGTTCATAGCCATGAGTTTCATCTTCTGAAACTTCATTGCCTCAGCCATTGCAGCAGTTGTAATACCTATAACCAGGACAATCCTTTTTAAAATTGGAATTATTTCTTAATTTAATTAAAATCAGGATGTCTTTATACAATATAATATCAATCTTCCCACTTCTTCCATGTCATTACAATATTAATTTGTACTTCCTGCCTGTCCATTCCTGACTTCTCAGATTTATCCCTACACATAAAGGAATATTTAGAAAGATTGAAAGCTTACTGACAGTGGGATATGTAGCAGAAATAAGAAAGGTAGTATTTTCTGATCTTTGGCTACCAGTGGGTCCCAGAGCAGCCATCTTGTCATGGAGCAGATAAAAGAACAGGGGAGAGTTCCCATTGCAAGGGTCTGGCCAATCACCTTAGATAATTGTGTGAAGATTTTTTTTTTTCTTTCTGTTAATTCGCTTCTCTCTGCTCAGCCCCACTCTGTTGACTATAGTGCACCTCCCAACCCATAAAAGGGTCTACTATGCATACATATGCATGGATCTACTCAGCAAAGACCACTGGATCCAGAATTGAAGAATGGGGAGGAGTCAACGGGAATAGATTATGATGAAAGTCACTCCCAAAAAGATTTGAGCCAGTTGTGGGCTCTTTCTCACTAGGAGAAATGTCTGAACAGGGTTAAAGAAGGGAGAAAGACAGACAAAAAAGGAAACTGGGAGAAAATTAAATCTTGATTTACCTCATAAAGAACAACAGTAACATCTTGAAATTTCTCAGGTGGCCTTAAAGGCAAGAAACCAAAAGAGGGCCATTAAAGCCTTACTTATATTTTGCTACTGGTTTCTTTTTCTTTGGTAGAGATTCTAGACTTTAGCATCTAATCTTGCTTTTTATTGTTGATGTGGTTCTGTTTTTATTTTTTTGGTTCACCTTTTAACTTGAGGAGCCCCTTTCTGTACATAAGGTACCCAAGAGGAGACAGCAATTGTGGTCATAGACTCAAGCTACAATTACGCTGTATGAAATCCCACCATGTGGACATGAGTTAATATCAGCTTCTTTACACCAGGTAGATAGCCAACAACTGCTAAAATTACTATGAGTGGAGTAATAAGGGAAGCAAAAATGGAAGCCCATCTCCTGATCACATCTACCTGGAGGCAATCAGAAATCTTAATAATATATCAATATACATACATCCAATTACTGAAAACACATCTAAATATGGAAAATGCTAAAGAAACAACTGAAGATATTGGCTCATGTCCAGAAAGAAGATAGAGTTCTTGAAACCAATGAGCTGGAGATAGACATTGACATCCCATTGGAAAGAGGACAGGCTTTGGAACTGCCTGAGAAGAGATTCAGGAAAATGATATTGAGGTGCATCTAAATGCTGCACAGAGGGGTTTAGAAAAATAAGGAAGAAGTCAGTAGAGTGCTACAGGAACAATCAAGGAAGATAGAAATAGCATTGGAAATAATTCAAAATCTTTAAAAATAAGTTCAAATGATTAATAATAAAATATCAGAAATTCACAAGACACTGAAAAAGCAAAGGAGTAGAATTGAAGAGATGAAAGTCAGAACCAGTTAGCTGGAAGACAAATCATCTAATACTGCTAAAGAAAAAAAAAAAAAAAAAAAAAAAAAAAAAAAAAAAAAAAAAAAAAAAAATAAAAAAAAAAAAAAAATGTATAACATTCATGTGGGACAGCATGAAGAGGAATAACCTGAGGATTACTGGAATTCCAGAAAAGGAAGGATCACAGAAGAGTGAAAAGGAGATAGCTGAAGAGCTGCAGGAAAATTTCCATAACATCCTGAAAAATGAAAAAATAAGCATTCAAGAAGCTGAACGAACCCCAAGAAGGATAGACTCCAATAGAAAATCACCAAGACATATCATAATCAAGCTCTCCAGAATCAAAGACAAGGGGAGAATACTGCAAGCAGCTAGGGAAAAGAGAAGTGTTACCTACAAAGGCAAGCAAATAATATTAAGATCTGATCTCTCAGCAGAAACCATGTAGGCAAGAAGGCAATGGGGAGACATATATAAAACCCTAAAATGACAAACAAAAACTGCTGAACAAGAATCATCTACCCAGCAAAGCTGTCAATCAAATGAAAATGTGCAATCAAAGAATTCCAGGATAAACAGAGGCTAAAGGACTTTGTCTCAGCCAACCCAACACTTCAAACCATCCTAAAGGAAGTTCTTTGAACTGAGAATCAACAAAAATAGACAAAACCTGAGATTGACATATGTGTAAGCACCATCCAAAAGTCAATCGACAGATGGAAGACTCCAGGACAGAAAAAAACTACAAGAACAAATTCAGAGAATCTGGGATGTCTGTCTATGATCAAAACAATTACAATGTGAAAGAATGGAAAACCAGAGAAACAGAGATCCAGGTGATGGGAAAGTCAAGCAGATTTCAGGATAAAATAGACTGCTTTATTTAAATGGAGGAAAAATTTAATAGAATATAGGGTAACCTCAAAGAAAATTAATAGTTCACAACATATCAAGTAAAAGAAAATCCAAGAAAATCATGCATACATTAAAATTATGATGAAACTGACAAGAAAGAACATAGCAAAAAACATGAACTCACCACAGGAAGGCTTGCAAAAGAGAAAAATCAGCAGCACCACAACAAGGCAAACAAAATGACAGCAATTAATTAATATCTATTGGTAATTACACTGAATGTCAATGGATTAAATGCACCAATCAAAAGAAAATAGCAGAATGGATAAGAAAACATATGCTGTCTACATCATAGGCTGACCTCCCAGATTCTGTGCATTTGTTCTTATAGTTTTGTTCTGTTCTGGACTCGTCCTTCTGTTGATTTAATTCTGGGAGATGCTGCCATGTATGCCAATCTCTGGTTGTTTTCTGTTCTTGTTGTACTTGGATCTTCATTTTCATGATAAGTTGTGAACTATCAACTTTCTTTGAGGTTACCTGATAGTCCACAGAACTCCCTTTAGGATATTTTGTAGCACAGAGTTGGCTTTGGTAAAATCTCTTAGTTTCTGTTTATCCTGAATGTTTTGATTACAATGTTCTATTTTATTGATAGCTTTGCTGGATAAAGGATTCTTGGTTAGCAGTTTTTTTCTTTCGGGATTTTATATATATCTCCCTATTGCCTTCTTGCTTGCATGGTTCCTGCTGAAAGATCCGAGATTAATCTGACTTGCTTGCCTTTGTATGTAACACTTCTGTTTTCCCTAGCTGCTTTCAGGAGTGTCTCCTTATCTTTGATTTTGGAGAGCTTGAATATGATATATCTCAGTGATTTTCTTTTGGAGTCTATCTTTCCTGGGGTTCATTGAGCTTCTTGAATGTTTATCTTTTCACTTTTCAGGATGTTAGAGAAATTTTTTTCCAGCAGTTCTTCAATTATTTCCTTTGTGGACTTGTGTGATTCTTCTTGTTCTGGAATGCTGATAATTATTAAGTTATTCCACTTCAGGTTGTCCAACATGAATCTCAGACCTTCTGCAGTTTTTTTTTTTTTTAAACCTTTTTCTCTCTTTGGTCCTCTATCTTAGTGTTATTGAGAGATTTGTCTTCCAGCTCACTGGTTCTGCCTTCCATCTCTTCTATTCTGCTCTTTTACCATTTCAGAGTATTGTCTATTTCTCATATTCTATTATTGATCATTTGGACCTCTTTCTGTAGGTTTTAAATGATTTCCAATAATGTATCTATCTTATTTGATTGTTCCTTTAGCATTTCCCTGACATCTTCCTTATTTTTCTCAACTCCAATGTAAAGTGTTTTGAAAAATTTATAATCATTTTTCTGAATTCCTTCTCAGGAATTTCCAAGGCCTATCCTCCTCCCAGAATGGAATTTAGGTCTACCTTTAGGTTATTTGTTTCAGACATTGTATCTTGTTTCTGGACATGTTTTGATACGGTCATCTGCTTATGCTTCTTGGACATGTTTAGTGTTTATCTGTGGCTTTAATACATAATTGAGTATGTGTTTTGGTATTTTTTATGCTGATTGCTTACAGAAAGATGTGATCAGGATGTGGGCTTCCATTTTCACTCTTATTATTGCTTAACTCATAGTAACTTTCACAGGTGTTTTCTGCCTCCATGATATATGGCTGTTGGTATTGGTTCTTGCCTGGGTTTTGGTATTTTATAGAATGTTGTTGTAGCTTGACTATATGGCAGCAGTTGCTGTCTTTTCTTGGGTAATATAGGGAGAGAAAGACTCCCCAAAAGTGGAAGGGACAGCATACAACAGGAAAACAGTACCAGCAAAAGAAAGAAAGAAAGAAAGAAAGAAAGAAAGGAAGAAAGAAAGAAAGAAAATACCACAAAAGCAATGACAACAACAAAAAGACAAAACTAGACTGAACACTGTAGTGTATAATCATAGAAAAGGGAGAGGAGGGAGAGGATAAAAAAAAAAATCTGTAGCCTAATATGAGTATGACTTTAATGTCCTCTTTTTAGCTTCTTGCCTTAAAAGCTGCCTGAGAGATTTCAACATGCCACTGTTGGGTATAATGCTGTACCTCAGGATTTCATTTTGTTTTTGGCTTGTTTTGTTTTTAAACTCTGTTTTCCTGTATACAGCCCTGTCCTAGCTTTCTCTGTATTTAAAAAACAAAACAAAACAAAACAAAACCCACAACAATTCAGGGCCAGCTCTTGCGCAGAGTGTATCTGTGTGCATTCATGGCAGAAGTACCCAGCAGTGGTGATGGTGGGTGGTGTCCATTCATTCAGGCACCCCCTCTAGTCACCAGAATGGAGGTGTACAAACAGTTGGGAGTGTGTGTCAAAGAACAGATACCCCACCACCCCACCCCCCAAAAAAAGAAAAGAAATCAGAACAAAGCAAAACCAACATAGTATATTGTCCACCTTTGCTCCGAGGTCCTCACGGCATTGTTTCATGGTGTGTCTGCTCCCTCACTTAGTCTTGCAATTTGGTTTCACCCAAGTTATCGGTTCAGGGCCACCGAGACCACCAGATTCAAAAGTATGCAATTTCTTACTTTTGCTACAAGTCCCATTATCTA